GTGCTTAATCCTGACAGATGAAGAAGCAACTCCCATAGGGACATTCCCAGCATACGAGACCCCTTTACGGAAGACTTGCTCATGGAAGAATGAGCAAGCTTGGTCGAGGACTTATCCCGCTCAACTGGCAAATCATCTAGGTCCGAGCCATGCAGCTCCCATCTTTCAACATCTTCGGCTAGGGGCAGACCATCAGCCTCCTTCTGATGTTCACTCAGCAACCAGCGCAATCCACAGAACCTGGCAAGGATGTTCAAAGCTTGATGAACATTGATCATGTTCGGGTCGAGATCGAGCTTCTTGTGGATGTCATTTTCTACAAGCAGAAGACAGAAGTCAGTCAGACACACAACAAAGAATTCCATGGCTACTGTAGCAGATCAAAGGGATGCAACTTACCATCACAGTAGGTGAGAGGAACGAGTGAACCGTCACCAACCTCCCCTACCCATCTGCCGCTGACTTCCAACATGTCCGTGCTCCACACATGATTGCCTTCACTCATACTATTCCTAGTTCGTGACACAAAAAGAAGAAATTGAAGCAATTTGGATCAACCACAAATAAGCCAACCCAAACTGCCACCAGCTCCAGCAGCAGGCTGGCTCGCCTCCAACCCAGTTACAGTGGACAACCCAAGTTAAAAGACCAAAGTGGCAAGTCCAAGACCTCTTCCACGCAGGAGCCCAAATCAAAGAAGGAAGCCCAGTTACAGCTGGACAGCCCAACAGATAATTCACATCACCTACATGCCGCCACGCACCATGCAGAAGCTGGGGGGGCATTTGTGGGAACCAATTAAATCAAAACCCTAGGTCAAATAATTCCTTCCATTTGGAGATTATTTGACCTAATTGGGAATTACTCAACCTAATTGGGAGTTACTCAATTTAATTGGGGGTTACCCAATTAAATTGATAATTACCTAATTAAATTGAGATTTGATTTGATTCCTACCACAATTAGGGATTTGACTTACCCTAATTAATCATATCAATGCCAAATCGGTGAGGAATAATTCCTTACCAACTACGGAATTATTCATCTGAAACCCTAGCCTCCGAGACCACTATAAAAAGATGGCCACACACAAGGGTGGAGATACGTCTAAATTCCTACTAAAACTCTGCATAAATTATTTCTCACAAACCCTAGCCACCACTTTCTTTCTTTCTCTGACACAAGGCTCTGACCACCACACACGGCTCCGGCCACTCGGTTTTCCTTGAAATACCCTATCTAACTTAGGCATCGGAGGGCCTTTGGCCAACACCCCCCGGGTGTGGTCCTTTTACCCCGATTTGTTTTGCAGGGAGAAAGAGAAGTGGAGAAAACGAAGGAATCTTAGACGAATATTCTAGTTGGACGAAATTTACTCCCACAATATATATATATATATATATATATATATATACAGTCCCCTTCTATTGAGGGATCCCTCAAATAATTTTATTTGAGGGATGCCCTTTAGGGTATCTTACAATTTTTTTTCCAATGATCCAAACCATCTATTTTTTAGGTCTTCATTCATAGATCATCCTTATAAAAAATTAGACAAATCGGAAACCGTTTGGACATCCAATTGTGTCTTACAAAATCAATGAACACGGTGCTTCAAGAAAGTACTAAAATTTCAATAACTCAATTGAATGGTCAAATGATATCGGATTCAAGTGATTTTTTGTAGAGATGATCTTTGAATGTGTATCTACAAAATAGACGGTTTGGATTAGTGAAATACAATCCGGAGTGGGCCCTACAAGGGGTGTCCATCAAATAAGCTTATTTGAGGGATCCCTCAATGGAAGCTCTCGGTTAGCCAAAGTTGAAATTTTCTACCTTGATTTTATTGAAAGCCGTTACATGCCTAGTGAACTAAAAACCCTAACTAAAGAAAAATGGAAATTAATAGACAGATCAGAAATCGAAGCCAGCCATCCCCCAGTTGAAACCATAATTATCAACCATAGGAATACTTTCATACCTGCCAGTCCCTTCAAAACCTATGAGAATGATGATGAAAGTAAAAGGATAATTGAGCAAAATAATTATACCAACCAAAGTCTAATTGTCATAGGCAAACAGCTAGATACAATTGAGACTTCTAAGTTTCTGAAAGCATTTTCAATTTTTGAAATATTGCTGGTTTCAGAATCTGTTGTTCCTGACTCAGACTCAGTAGGATGTATATATATATATATATATATATATATATATGATACAAGCCAGTGCCCAGCTTGGCTTTGGCCCCTATATGTTTTCCAAGTGTAGTGTAACCCTGACTGACTATCCTGCTCCCAACGTTTCAATTTCCAAATTTTCATCCAAGCATGTTTTTATGGTTTACTTGTTATGAAAGAAATGGAAATATTTGCAATTCAGTTATGGGTATGATATGAACACGCGACTATTTGAAAGAGTATAGCACTCTCTTTTTTTCTTAATTTTTTTAAATTTATAAATGACTTGGATTCTTTCCTCGGGGCTAATCATTATTCAATAGAAGAAAGGACACGTCACGGTTAGGCATTATCATACCTGATGTTATGCACCATCTTGAACAATGGATAAGTAGAAGTTCGTGGGATGAGAATCCAATCCAATCTTAAGTCCAAAGATAAACTAATTCAATAAAGTCCCAGTTTTGAACAACAATCCAATCCAATCCAATCTTACTTTCAGCCTGCGAAATGAAGCCTTAGTAATCCTTGTCTAAATGTGTCAAGGGACCATTAAGTCCTACTAACAAAAAAAAGTGCAAACAGGCAGTGGCCAGCAATAGATATTTGCCCTATGATATAACACAAGATGATTTATCAACACTAAATCATTATGTTTGATCTTTAAGCAGCGAAGAATGGTACTAGAATAAAACCAAACCAAGAAAAACGACATGTAGAGTTTAAAGTATGACATAAGCTAATTTACTCTCATGTTTTGTGAACCAAAATAAGTGTAATTAGGTCAAGACAGTGGCTTACCTACCGGGTCGGCTCCCGGTTGGCTTCAACTTTGGTGATGTTGTCAAGTACCAGCTATGTGCATATGTTGACGAAAGACATTCCTAGTAAGCATCAATTGACAAAAGGGTCAGCATCAATTGCATATGTTTTTCTGTTTTTTGTGTTTGTTTTGTTTTTGTGTGTGTCTATGACATTGGTAAGTTTTGCTGGACTTCTTGGCAATAGCTGGTCAGGACCCATATATTCTGTATGACATGTTTCCCAATCAAAGGCAACAATGGAGAAGAACAAAATTTCTAGAGTTTGTGTAACAGGGGCTGCTGGATTCATTGGATGTTCACTTGTTAAAAAACTCCTAGAGCAGGGCCATACTGTCCATGCCACTCTGAGGAACTTAGGTTGCTCTCTCTCTCTCTCTCTCTCTCTCTCTCTCTCTCTCTCTCTCTCTATGAAACTGCTATGTATGCTTGTATTTTATCTGTACAACCCTCTTATCTGTACTATGTATGGTCTCCCTAAATGATGCAGAGGATGCATCCAAAGTAGGCCTTCTCAAGTCCCTCCCTAATGCAGACAGCAAATTGTTGCTGTTCCAAGCTGACATATATGACCCCAAGGAGTTTCAACCCGCCATCCAAGGATGTGAGTTTGTCTTTCATGTGGCCACTCCAAAGCAGCATATCAACCAAAGCTCTCAGGTCAGGCACTCGTACTTTTTAGGCAAGATAACAATCCAATTCAATCATGCACGCCAAATGAAGCCTTGGTTGTTTGATAGTTTGATTATTGAAAGCTGGTGCTTGACAGTTTGAGAATTTGAACATATATGTAGTACAAGGACACAGCTGAAGCTGCTGTTGCTGGGGTTAGGATCATTGCTGAGTCTTGCATTCACTCACAGACCGTTAAGCGACTCATCTACACTGCAAGCATGCTAGCTGTGTCACCGAGGAGAGATGACGGGGTTGGATTCAAACCCTGCCTTGATGAATCATGTTGGACACCTCTTGATGTCTCATTTACTTATGCCACTGACTTTTCAACGGTGCCTCTTCTTGCTCGTGAATGAAATTGAGTCTTAATGTTTCATTAATTAAAATTAATCTTTATGTTTGATTTTAATCTGGAAATATGTTCAAGGGGTATATCATATCAAAGACATTAGCAGAGAGAGCAGTGCTGAGCTATAATGACATTGATAATGGTAAACTGGAAGTCGTAACGCTTCCTTGTGGCTTGGTGGGAGGAGAAACTCTTCTGTCATATTTGGCTACTAGTGTGGGAGTACTTATATCACAACTTGCTGGGGACTCTTTTGGTTACAATGGATTAAAATTGATGCAAGAAGTTAACGGTTCGGTTCCCCTTGTACACATTGAAGATGTCTGCCAAGCACATATCTTCTGCATGGAACAACCATCCATGAGTGGTAGATTCTGCTGCGCAGTTGCCAGTCCGAATATCAACGAAATTGCAAGCTACTTCGAAGAAAATTATTCAGAACACAAGATAGCAAAAGAGTATCGATCCTATTTCTTTTTTTTTTTTTTTTTTTTTTTTTTGTTTACAGTTCCCTACTTTTGATTTTTAACTCCAGAATTTTACTCATTTTCTTTGATCATGAATGTGTCAATTCATCACAGATTCACTGAAAGCATCAAAAGACTAGAAGAAGGAAGCAAATGTGACTTCAGTAAGCTGATGAAGATGGGTTTTGAGTACAAGTATAGCATGAAGAATATACTAGATGACAGTGCAACAAGTGGAAGGAGGTTAACTAGGAGCTCTTTTTCTCAACTTATTTAACTCTTTGTTTTGATCAAAACACAACTAGCTGTAATCTGTATAATCATGGCTCAATTGCAAATAATTCAAATTGCAGTACAAGTAAACTTTTAAAAAGGCAATAGCAAGTTTAATAGCTAAAACCAAACAAAGAATGAACATCAGCAGCTTAGATGCAATTACATCCGAATGTTGGGTTCCTCTTCATATTCTAGCAACATTTGCACTACTGAATCCCTTGGTCTTATGTTCCTATCTTCCTCCACACAGGAGATACAAATCTTGGTTCCTGCTGAACACCCCTTCCAATCTTGGATCCAACATATCCTCTATCCGTTCATCTTCCCCACTTTGAATTTTTCTTTTGGCAACCTTGAGAAACCTCTTCAGTTCTGCTTCTTGCTCCTCACCATTCTCCACCACCCTATTCGAAAGCCGATTGCCCATCTATATCTCTAAAAGCACCCCTCCATAACTGTAAACATCCACTTTTGCAGTGATTGAAAGGTTCGAAGCCCACTCCGGGGCATATACCCTTTTGTTCCTCGAATGTGAGAGGATACTGAATTGAGGCCGCCTCTCTGGGATAACTTTGCCAGGCCGGAATCTGCAATTTTTGGTTCAAAATTACTGTCTAGGAATATATTTTCAGGCTTCACATCACAATGAATAACCCATTCTTGACACTCATGGTGAAGATAGGATAAACCTTTAGCAATCCCTAGTGCAATTTTAAACCTCTCTTTCCATCGAAGGAAATTTTGGGGGAACAACTGCTTGTCTAATGGTCTGCTTTCAACATACTCAAGAGATTAGAAGTCTGTGTTTATCTTCAGAACAGAATCCCCATGTTCTCACTAGGTTTATGTGATTGACTTTCACAATTTTGCTTACTTCTGCCCAAAATACTTCTCCTTTATAAATATCTGCCAATTTCTTGACAGCTACCACTCTTTCATCTGCCAGAACACCCTTATATACAACCCCCGGAAGCCCTTCTTCCCAGCTCTTCTTTAAAGTTTTTGGTTGAGCTCAGCATAGAGATACATTCTGAATTGACTTGAAAGCAAATCATATCCATCTTCTAGAAACAAGCTTAAATGCAATAGGGTTCATTATAATCTATATTTTATCACTCATTTGTAGACGAATACACAATACAGTTCAAGTAAACATTTGTAATTCAAAAAGAAACATTACTTACAGCATACAGCTTAAATGCAATTACTACTGAATGTTGGATTCCTCTTCACATTCTAGCAACATTTGCACTACTGAATCCATTGTTGGTCTTTTGTTCCTATCTTCCTCTACACAGGAAATACCAACCTCAACCATCTTTGTCGCTTGGTTCCTGCCGAACTGCCCTTCCAATCTTGGATCCAACATATCCTCTATCCATTCATCTTCCCCACATTGAATTTTCCTTCTGGCTATCCTGACAAACCTCTTCATCTCTGCTTCTTCCTCCTCAGCATTCTCCACCACCCGATTTGAAAGTCGAATGCCCTTCACTATCTCTAGAAGCACTACACCATAACTGTAAACATCCACTTTTGCAGTGATTGAAAGGTTCAGAGCCCACTCCGGGGCCATATACCCTTTTGTTCCTCGAATGTGAGAGGACACTGTATTGAGGCCACCTCTCTGGAATAACTTTGCCAGCCCGAAATCTGCAATCTTTGGTTCAAAATTACTGTCTAGGAGTATATTTTCAGGCTTCACATCACAATGGATAACCCATTCTAGACACTCATGGTGAAGATAGGCTAAACCTTTAGCTATCCCTATTGCAACTTTGAACCTCTCTTTCCATCCAAGAAAATTTGGGGGAAACAAGTGCTTATCCAAGGATCCATTTTCAACATATTCAGAGATTAGAAGTCTGTGTTTACCTTCAGAACAGAATCCCCATGTTCTCACTAGGTTCATGTGATTGATTTTTTCAATTGTGCTGACTTCTGCCCAAAATACTTCTTCCGCTTGATAAATATCCGCCAATGCCTTGACTGCTACCACTCTTTCATCGGCCAGAACACCCTTATATACAGTCCCAGAACCCCCTCTTCCCAGTTCTTCCTTGAAGTTTCTGGTTGCTTTCTTCAGCTCAGAATAGAGATACATTCTAAAGTTACTTGAAATCAAGCGATATTTATCTACCAAGGGAGCTGACATACCTTGTGATCTTCTGAAAAGTAACCACCAACCTGATAATATGAAGAGAAATTCAACAGCACCGATTGCAGCAGCAAAAGAATACAGATATACCCATCTCACCGTTTTACTGGGATTGTCATACATTGAAGAAGTACCTATTTTAACAGCATTAGTCCTGCATGAATTAAATACAGTGAGATTGGCCGCTGGTGAGGTTTCCATACTCAGAGGCTCAGGCAGCCTTAAGTACAGACTGCCCTCGATAGTTGGAGACCTGAGCCCACTGAAGAGAGCACCTTTTGTGTAACACTTCTGTCCCCTATAGACAAATGCTTCACAACGGCAATCCTCGACACAGAGTTTTGTGCAATTCTGAATGGAAGTGGATTCACTGTAATTGAGATCAAATCCATAGAAATCTACATACTGAATCTGCTTGAATTTCACTCTCTGGGACTGAGAGCATGTAGGCTTGAACTTAGGCTTGCAACCCTTGTTCCAGTTACTTGTATCCACTGCCTCATAGCCAGGAAGGCATGAGCACTTAAGCTCTGGTGTATAAACACAAATCCCATTTCTCCCACAGATCCCATGCACCCTGCACTGCTGTGCCAGAGCTTCCCAGGTGATCACCCATGATCCTGTCGAGTTTAGACTATAAAGTCTCAGGTTTCCATCATAATCCGTTGTCAACCTCCGTTTCACCCTTGCACCCATGTCAGAAGCACTGAATATCAAGCCATCACTGGATACAAAATTGCCCATTTCATCAAAAACAGCAATTCTACTACTATTGTAGTCTGTTCTACCATTCTGATATACACTCAAACCAGGCCCAGGCCAATACACACTTGATATGTCAGGACCATCATAAATCAACCTCAAAACATTGTCATTATCAAAATAGAAACTAAAATATCCAGTACCAAAGTTGCCTCTTCCCAAAGTAGATGTCAGCTTCATGGTCTTTGTAAAGGGTTGCTTTGGGAGGAGAGTATCAGTGGGAAAATCAAAGCTTTGCCAGAGAATTTTACCTAGTGGGTTTTTCAAAACAAAAGGTTGCCAGAATTCAAAAGCTCCGCCCTTTCAGCACCAGTGGGAGTTGAGTTGGTGCTGCTCTCCCAGACAATTTTGCCGTCCACATCAGTCAAGACCATGGTGCCATCTCGACTCAGTGAAACTCTGGACCCCAAAGCATTGACAGGTCTGTCTCTGTTAGCCATCCAAACAAGGGTCTTGTTCTCGGAATTTGTGAACCAAATGGAGAACCAGTAGGCATTTGTGCCCACCCCATAGAACCCACATGTAAAAGACTTATCTGGGGAAGTTAGGAAACCAGAATCATCTTCAACTGAAAAAGAAGCGCCTCTTTTTAAACTCTTCTGGGTTTTTGCTGTTGCAAAACAACAACAAAATACAGTGATGACTAGAAGAATAAGAAAGCAGGGACATTTTGGAGATGACGCAGTTTGGTGGTATGCCATTTTTGGAGGTTCAACTTTGGTGAACACAATTTAAAGGGACTATAAATAAGCCTTGTCTAGTTTGGTCCAAAATTCAATCTTTCAGATTTCTTTCGAATATTTTATCGTTCTCCGCATGCCAGCCTTTTGCTCTTTCAAATTCACAAATGTATTTTGCGAGAGTCTTTTTGTCGCATTTCAATGACTTTGGAGAAATAGAAAATATATATATATATATAAGGGCCTAAAATATCTAAACTATAATATTATGTTGGTTTCATGATGAAAACATTTTCGTTCTAACATTTTTATATATATATATATATTAAAGAAATGCTCGTTATTCAACCACACGACTTATTGAAAGCGTATAACATTAGCATTACGCTCGATATTATTAATTTAGAAACCAAGGCTGCTATCACTAAATTGAGAGAGATGGGCCACAGAGCCCATCAAACCAACTACATATTTCTTTCCCAGAAGTAAGCAAATTGGACGGTCAGATGAGCCACTTATTTTGACTTTGATGATAACAAAAAGGGTCATCTCCTCCGACCACACCCACTCTTAACACTCTCACTGCAACTCTGTTCTCAATGACTATTTCTTGTATTCAATCTCTTTGTAAAGCCCCCACCTTTCGTCTCCCTTCAACTTTTCTGGGTTCCTCTTATTTCTTGCAGAGTCCCGAAGCAAACCCATTTTCAAGAAACAGAGACTCCAAGTATTACGTAGACAGAAGGATTGGCAATAAAAAAACAAGAGGTGGGATTGTCTGTGGGGTGCTTTTCCCAATTGATCCATGGGCACCCAGCATTGATTCACAGAGCATAGCTTCACAGCTCTTTGCAGCTTCATTGTTTCCCTACCTTGGTTTCTTGTACTTCATCACCAAATCCAAGTCTGCCCCAAAGCTCACCCTTTTTGGGTTCTACTTCTTGCTAGCTTTTGTGGGGGCCACCAGTGAGTTTTTCCACTTCTTTTCATTCTATTACCTTTCTACTTTTTTATGGTCTCTTCTCTTGGGTTTTGGGTATCCCTTTATTAAGCTCTTCAAGTGGTTGCAAATTGATATGTAAACCACAGACTCCTTCTACATTCCATTGTATTAATTTATAACATATGGCCAATCACATCGGGGCATAAAAGGAAGATGGAAGTGGACCTAGTCAAGGACCTGAACTTATGCATGTCTTATGCTTTTGTACCATTTGTCGACAGTGCTTGTTGTTTTATCATATTTCTTTTCTTTGGGCGGCTGGAAGATTTGTTTATGTAGCTTTGTGATAGGCTTCTAGCGTCTTTGAAATCCAAAAGACAATGCTTGTTGTGGGTCTGTCATAGTTCAATTCAATGGCCCCTGCAAACATTCGCTCTAGTTTTGTAAAATGTTACATGATTGTTTTGTTTCTTATTGAAATTGGGCTGGTATTGTAAATTGTTTACTGTCAACTGCTGTGTTTCAACTCTATTAACATCCTTCTTTTTGTTCTTTGCTTTCCTCTCGTCTACTGAGCAGTCCCTGCTGGAATTTATGGTAAGTTTTCACTGTTTGAGAATGTTGTACACTTCATATCAGTTCATGAACTGATGCCTTATGGTACTCTGGTTATTTGGCTGAACAGCAAAGGTGAAATATGGCACTTCATTGGCGAATGTTGATTGGTTACATGGTGGGGCTGAGGCACTTCTCACTCTAACCAACATATTCATTGTGTTGGGCTTGAGAGGAGCCCTCAGAAAAGCTGAAGATGCAAAAGCAAGAACATCAACTCCTATTTCAGGGTTGAAGGAGGAGAAGAAAACTTCTGTTTAGGTGCAGCAGACAGATTTTTCTCTGGGTTCTTTCCTATTGCGTTTTATTTCTATGTTAGATTTGAAGTCTTTAACTCTTTTTCTTCTGCTTTGTTACAACCTACTATTGCCTATGCCTAATATCTCTGCAGTCATGTTTTCCCCTGTTCCCTTGAGAAGCCATAGTCTCTCATTTACTGTATGTAAAGTCGCAACATTTCTATTGTTTTTTTAGCTGAGTCTTGAAATGTTGGGTAATTGTCCAATCTAGAATCATATATATTGTTTATATTCCCTTTTTATATCTCTGTGTTTCTGTTATGTGTTATTTAAACAAGAACATGACCTCCCGGTTCGAGTCTATAAGTTTATTTATTGAGAGCAATGTTGTAGGATCTTCACTTGTCCTATTTGGTTATAAGATGTGTTTGTATGGAACTTCTGCTTTATTCTGAACAAATATGGGCCTCAATTGGAGTTAAAAGGAAAAAATATAATTTGAAAACTATAATATAATCAATTCTATCCATCGGCTAACATCAGAAAAAGCTCTTATCTTTTACTAGCATTCCTCCTATCTTATAATACATGGTTGATTCAAGGTTTGAAACAAGCTAGTAGCAACCTGGATGCTACTTATTCTTATTCTCAAACTCAAGTAAAATTATGAGAAAATTCCTGTGGTGTCAAATGGGAAATTGGGCTCAATTTCCACTGGCTCCAGTGGAAAATCCATGTCTGGAATTGGAGAATTGGTTGACGAATTGTTGGCTGAGATGATCTCAGTAAGACCACATTCTGAAAGTTGCTCGTTTCCTGCAATGTTTCTCATCTGGCTTGGTGGCATCAAATAGTAGTTTGATTCGCCTGCGGCTGGAGATAGCAATGAATGATTGAAGTTGTCAAAGAAAGTGTTGTTATCATCAAGCATTGAAGATAGAAAGGCATCATCAGCTATCATACATCCAAATGAAGTTGAAGTGAAAGAGAATGGAGATGCCATGTTCTCTCTGTCTTCCAAGAACTTGGTATCGACTCTCAGATTAGTCGGAAAGCTCATTTGGTTTCCTTGAGACTGCTGTTGGTGAGAAGTATTATTTTGCTTGTTTCGTTTTTGTTCTTGCTGTTCTGGTGATGGTGGTGGTAGAACTGAATTGCTACCATGAGAACATGTATGCTTTCCTTTGTATGTGATTTCGAATATCGTGGGGTCTTCATCTGATCTTTGCACTTGCTTTGTAGCATAACAGCTTTGCGTGTTTCGGTAGGTGCATCTGTAATAGCTTCTGCAAATTTAAACAAAATTGGTCATCAGAATGTTCATAACAAAGTGATATTTCTATGATGCAGAAGACTGCTATATTTCCCATTTGTGGGTCAACCTCAAAAGACAAAGCTTTGTGCGCGTGCGCGTAAAAGGTAAAGTATTATATGTTGCTTTTTGAAATGTAGCATCGGTGACTGTTACTGCAAATGATTGGATGGTTGAATGGATTTGCTTATAAGATTTTACAACAGGATAAGATTAAGTAAAAAAGGCACTTTAGTTACCTTGGATGTTTGGCTCCTAGGATGTCTTTCTGTCCATATTTTCTCCAGCTATGGCCATCTTCATGAGGTCCTTCAATCCCATTCTCAGAGCTAACTCTCATTACATGGTCTGTCCATTTGGCCATGATCTTTCTGCAATATGCAAAATCAAATTAGCATTTGATTTCTTGGCATCATATTCTCTATATTTATGACTTAATGAATAGTCTAAGCTCACCTCTTCTTGGAGACATCTGTGAGGTCCTGATGATCCTTGGGACTCTTGTTATAGTCATCAAAACAAGGACCTGCGTTAGCTGACACAAGAGACTCCGGCACACTGGCTATTGCACCCGCAGTACTTTGAGCCGGCCCACTGAAGTTCAGTATCAAAAGGGCTTTCTCATAGGAGGACAATATCCTCTGCACTAAAAATTGTCTGGTGTCTGATGAAGATGCTGCACTTAGACTTAGCCTCAACTGTTTTGCTAGCTCCATCCCTTCAGTGATCTCAGTTAGCAGTGACTTGTGCTCCCAGCTCTTACTAGAATCCATTTCTTCAATTCTATGTATCAATTTCTATATCTCAATTGGAACTGGGAGCAATATAAGATGCAGAGCTTAAGTGCTACTTCGCGTCCGACAGAAGAACATGCATTGCCTGCATCAGCACACCTTCACCACCTTGGCTATATATGATTGGTTATCAAGGAGCAAAGTCCTCCCACTTAAATCCCAGAAAGAGTAGAACCGAAGGGGATTTGGAAGTTCCAATTTGTTTCAAGAAAGAAGCTGTACACGTGGAATTAGTATCCAGAATTTTGAAGATTCTCTAAATTGTGTGTGCAGAAAGAGAAGAAAGTAGAGTAGTGAAGCTACAGAAGCCAAGAGAGCGAGAGACTTGGATTTAAAGGAGAAAGTGGAGATGCTATATATATACATGTAGAGGTGACCAATTTGAATGGAGAAGAAAATGAAGTGGAGATTGGAGAGTAGAAAGTTGAAGTTTGACTGAGAAACCGAGTTATTCAGCTCTGACTGGTCTTTGGTCATGCATATAGAAAAAAAAAATCTACGCTGACCATTTCCACATCTTCTAATTCTGTGAATCTTTAACTTGTAAAAAGGGTCCCTCTCTCTCTCTCTCTCTCTCTCTCACACACACACACAGAGATGGCAACAGGGGCGGATTGAGGCCGAATATGTCATTTTGAAAACCAACTAGAAAGATACATGCACATGTATAAGCTTAAACAGATAAAGAGGTGGGGGAGTGTTCTCTCATCTCTGGGGAAAATACCCTCTCTCTCTCTCTCTCTCTCTCTCTCTCTCTCTTTGTGATTTGTAGTTGGTGGGATTTTTTATATATTTTTGTTTTGGATTGCATGATTGAGATTTAGAAAGGCGCTTACTAGGAATTTTCGAACCATATTCCGCGTTATTATTTGGTAAAATGCCGTCACTCCCACTTCTCCTCCCAGTAGTAGAGTAGTAGAGTAGTAGAGTATTGAAATTGAATCAAAGAGTGCGTGACGTGGCCCACATAGTTAGATTCTTTTTGTCTTTCCTCTTTTCTTTTTTTTTGTTGCTGCTTGGTTATCTAGAACATCATCTTTTTGTCCAACACATTTCAATTCTCTGCAGGCGCGTTTTTTGTGGAAGAAAAACAGAAGTGAAAAGCTTTTTGGTATTTGTTTAATAATTAATTGGTCAAAAGGTCTTGAAGAACTTGGACAATCTTACGGCCCCAATCTGAATTTGGATTCCTTGACGGGGTTGTTGACCATGATTATTATGGTTGCATCCTTTGTTTACTGTGCCTAAAACTATGTATTCCATAGACGCGTGCACAACTAATGTATTCATTGTATCAAAACTTGGAAATGTATTATAAATAGGGTGAATTCAGTACAATAGTGGTAACATGTCACGCGATATATCAAATATATATGGTCGGTTTTGAGATATGACAATATTATCAGAATTTGTAGATTCATTTCATTAAGAACAAAAACACACAAAAGAAATAAATTAATTGGAAATTGAAATGTGTTGGACAAAAAGAGAAATGAGAAACCAAATTCATATCTAGCTTCTGAGTTGGAACGGGTGGTGGTCTTGGCTTGTTTATGTGAACAAGGTTTGTACATATTCTGCTCCACAAGATAGGTATATGATTATGAGGCCATCAGCTTCAAAATGATTATATACAAGCTTCATAATGCTACACTTACCACAGTTTTATTCCACATTTCTATACCACATGATGTGGCATGTCCATATTATATGTCACATCAATTAAATTAATGAAGTATATTTTAATTAAGATAATTAGGAAAACAAATACTTGAATAAATCATAAAAGAAAAAGAAAATATTAAATAATTTTAATTGATGTGGCTGTCCACTTCAGCTGTCACATAAGATGGTATAAGGATGTGGTATACAAATGTGATAAAAGTAGCATTATTCCTTCAATATATAGATCTCTAAATATAGCAAGTTTCAAATAAAATTATTTCAATGATCCGTCAATACAATGAGACCCGTATATATCATGATAAATGTCCATCATATTCGTTTGTTGCTTGGAATGCCTGGTGCAACTGAACCAAATTCATCATTTTTGTTAGTTGGCTTGAAGTTATCATCATTACTCCATTTGACTTCTTGGTTTTTCTAATTTAATTTCGTCAACTTTAAAACAAGCGCGTGTATTCATTTGAGTCGAACATTTATTATAAATATACGGTAATACTAAAAATATTATATTAGAATCCAGATTTGCGAATCTTGTTGGAAGTTTTGTCAAGTTGAGTGGAAAAAATCTATTGATCTATTATTATTTCAACTTAAACAGGCAATTGCAAGTTGTTTGTGTGTAGGTACAAAAATTGAACAATTGAAATTGACGTCCAACCTACCTCTATGTGGGGGAGATATGAATAGTCCCCTTCTATCGAGAGATTTCTTAAATAATTTTATTTGAATGACACCCTTAAGGGTATCCTATGAATTTTTTTCCAATGATCCAAATCATCTATTTCTTATGTCTATGTTCATAGATCATCTTTGCAAAACATTAGACAAATCGAAAACTGTTTCGACATCCAATTGTATCATACAAAATCAATGAACACGATGCTTCGAAAAAGTACTAAAATTTCAATAACACAATTGAGTGGTCAAATGATATTGGATTCCAGTGATTTTTAGTAGAGATGATCTTTAAATGATTATCTAAAACATAGACTGTTTGGATTAGTGAAATACAATGCGGAGTAAGCCCTGCAAAGGTGTCCCTCAAATAAGCTAATTTGAGAAATCCCTCAGTGGAAGTTTTACATATACACCACACCACTCATTGTATAACCCAAGCAAACCTATGAGAGACTGAGTCGTCCCAAGTCCCCATCCAGTGAGAGCCACATGGTCCCAGCTGGACCAATGATGGCTACGTTAGCCTCCACACAATCCATACACTACGATTATATATATACACAACATGTTGATTTGTTTGAGTTCTGTCGTAGGCTTTTCTCAAAAACATATACTATATTTTTGTGGCAAATATCATATAGCTACCGTACCTTTCTATGCTCATTTCTACTCAATACCCGTTTGGCATTGCTTATTTGGGGTGATAATGATTTTTTTAAAATTTTGAGAAGGCCAACCTGTTTGGTAAACTGTGAGAAAATCACTTATTGTTAAAAATTGTTGTGAGAGAAAGCTATAAAGGAATGCAGCTAATGAAGTGCTTTCATTTTCTGATTATGGAGGAATAAGTTTTGAAGAGATGCTGGGTTTAATGATTATGCAGCAATCATTTTCTGATTATGTGTAAAATCAATACCAACAACACTTTTAACAAAAATTTTACCAAACGCCAAACTGCTTTCTCTCACAGCAAATCTGACAGCAATTATTTTCACAGCACATGCTTTTTCCAACTTCAATTTCATGGTTTAAGTTTTGGAAAGACCTTTTTTATTGAGATGATTGAGAATAATATATTAAACTCACACACACTACACAGATGTTAAGACTCGAACCCAGAACATTTCCTGTTAGTGGGTCCTTTGCAGGGTAGGTTAGATTTAGTTTTGTAGTAAAATCACGTATTTGTTAAGCAATTAAAATATACTCAATGATCCATACGTGTAGCGACACATAGCTATTATCAGGCCTAAAGTGGCTTTGGCCCCTCTACGCCTATGGACTCATTTATAATAAAAAGCTTTAAACCTTTAAAGATGTGCTCAAGATGTTTGATCCAGATGATGTTTTTTCTTTAATCAAAATACATGACAACTGCTTTAGCATTTCTCTATATTAAATATTATATTGTACGAGGATGGAGGAAAGTATAGGAGCATCACTTTGACGTGAACATTTACGATTAAAAATTAGTTTGGAACTTATTCAGTGGCTGAGGTGGATAAAGAAAAGCCATAACAAATTTTGTTTTTTCTTTTTCCAGCTCAAGGAATAAATAAAGGTTTGCATGTATATGAGATTTTCAATTTTGCATGCCATGATGTAAAAGCAGATTCCAAGATTGATATATATATATGTAAATACAAAAGAAAAAAAGGAACCCCACTGACCACTTGATCGCCTATATATAAGAGATCTAACCAAACAGCCTTCCAGCACCAAGAGAGCTCAAGAACACTTGGCTACTAAAAAAACAAAACCCTTTTTCAATCTCCTTTGTGAGTTAACTAAAATGGCCTTAACGCAACGCCACAACAAGCCAGCAGCCAAGGAGGGCTCATTGGGCCAGAAGGTTTCTGAGATTGCTGGCTTTCTGAAAGGAGGTCACCATGGAGAACACAACAGCAGCAGCAGCAGCAGCAGCCACACTACTAGCACCCAATACGGCTTAGCCACCCCAGCAACTAATGGGCAGCATGGGCTGAACCAGCACCATGCAACTGGAACCAAGAAGAGGGGTGAGCGCAAGAACAACAAGACAGGTGGCAGCCGAAATCTCCTTCAGAAGATCAAGGATGGAATTTCTGGCCATAGTAGCGACAGCGACAGCAGCAGCAGCGACAGCGAAAATGAAGGCTACCCAAAGAAGGCGAGTGATTTAAGTGTATATCAATAACATATGGAAATACTGCAAAACTAACTTACTGTGGGTATATTGTCAGACCGTGAATATATTAGGTATTCGTGGATGTTCTTGATGCATGTTAATGATGCGTTTATAATGGACATTTGTGTGGATTTTGCAGAACTAAATGGAACAGATGTGGGGGATCAGCATCAACTAAATATCAAGGACAGGGGAAGGAAGATGTGCCTCATCATCACTATATATGATAACTCAAGTACAAGTATATACTAAGTGTAAAATACAATAATGGCCTTACTGGCTTCTGATCTCTCACCACTTGGTTATCTATATGTGATACTAGTGAAAATATATATGTATATGTCTCTGTCTCTGGCTCTCAAAATAAAGTTATTTTGCGTGCGATATATTAATGCTTCATCCAATAAACATTCCAGAAATTGATGTGGCTCGGTGGAAAACAACATGAGAACGAATGACAGAACAATATATGCACTCCAAACATATATCGTCCTTGCAATAATATACGCCATGTCATGTGATAGATTTTTGCCATTAATAACTTGAAACAAATGAAATGTTTGGATCAATCACAAGTTACCGACATGATGCAGGCACATGGCAGTCATTGATTGGTGTAGGTCCCCAAGGTAAGCTAGGTTTCTCACCAAATCAGGCCATTCGAAGAGAAAGTCACATCTCATCACAATGAAGTTGAGGCTGGATGGTGAGAATAATAAGCAAGTTACATATACTGAATTTATAATACCTTGGAAATTCACGGTACTTTAAAGATTATAGATTAAATATCGACAATGTATCAAGCACTGTAACGTACATGAGTAGTCATGTTGTTTTATAAGAGCTAAAAAACTATCTACATTCCACTCTAGCTCACTGCTTTTGAGCACCAAGCAACCACAATAAAGCTCAAGAAAACCTAGATGCAAGTAATTAGTAACAGCAAAATAATTTCCTTAGTTGCCAAGGCCTGAGTCCGATGCTGCAAGCCCTTCAATGCAACCAGCCAGAAAAATATTATGCCAGACATGTAGTTTAATTGGGCCTCAACTATTGAGAAAGTAATTGTTGGGTTAAACTCCAATGGCAGAAACTTTTCATGCTAGTACTTTTCGTAACGGATAGGTTAAAATTCAACAGCAGATACAAAATAAGCTAAATAAATCAGATGATGAAAGTATATATGAGAAAGAGAAGAGGATGAAGAGAGAATTCAATATTTTTTGAAAAGGAAATATGAGATGGCATCATAAAATATTAATTCTTGATGTATAAATCACGTTGTGATAACTTATATGTTCTAATTGGAGCTTATAGCTCAAGTAGTTGATAATGTCTATTTCAAAACAAGGTTAGAGTTCGAATCACACCTCATTTATCCTCCTTGTAATTTTTTTTTAAAAATACAAGTGATAATCTAAACTATAAGAGCAACTCTAGTGGAGCCCCCTTGCCTCGGGCTGGGGAAAAAAAGCAAAAATCGGTTCCCAATGACGAGCCCAAGCTCGGGCTGGGAGTGGATCCCATGAAGTCGGGCTGGCCCAAATGCCAGTTCAGCCCGGGTCGAGCCCGAGTGTTGGTGACGCCATGTGCGACTTCATCGCGTGGTTTAAAATTTTTTTACCGTGCTGACATCAGCCTTGCGCAAGCTCCAATGGGTAGAAGCTACGTGTCACGCCCCTAGCGCTCCGATCTGCTTCTTTGAATTCAATCCAATGGCTAACATTTTTTTTGCAATAAAATTATGAAAAAGAAATTAAAATTTTTTATAAAAAAAATACTAAAAAATTCTGATTTTTTTTTCTATAAATACCTATCAATACCCTTCACTTTCAACACCAATCCTCATACATTTTATTCTACTTCTACTATTATTCACTCTTTACTCAATATTTTCCTCTCTTTCACCTTGTATTTTTATTTCTTATTTTTATGGCTTCTTCTATCGAAACCGGAGGGGCGTGGAGCACCAAGGAAGATGTTTCCTTCTGTGAGGCTTGGCTCCAAGTTTGTCATTGTCCCGTGTTAGGAAATGAGATGAAATTTTTTCATATGTGGAAAAAAATTCATGCCGAATTTTGTGAAAAAAAATTCATGCCGAATTTTGTGAAAAAATTCCAGGGTCGACTCGTACGGAAATGACATTGTCTAGTAGGTGAAAAATTCTCAATAAATAGTTGGGAAAGTGGAGAGATTCCATGGCAAAAGCGATGCACAACTATAGAAGCAGGGAAAATCGTACTAACGAGGTAAGTATTTTGTAATTTTCGTTTTATTAAGTTTAATGTCCTAATATATTTATTTTGTTAATATTTATTGCATTTTCAATATTTTGTTAATATTTCTTGCATTTTTAATATGTTGTTAATATTTCTTGCATTTCCAATTGTTTCTTAATATTTCTTGCACTTCCAATTTATTTGTAAGGTTAATTGCATTTCCATTATTATTTTTTTGTTACGTGCATATCCAATATATTTTAAATATTCTTGCATTTCCATTTTTTTGTTAAATAGATTATTCAAGCACAGATGTGGTTCAGTGTAACCGGGGGTGGCAAAAAAAGTTTCAACCATCATGAATGTTGGGAGGTGGTGAAATATTGCAAACGTTTCATAATTATTCTCACGGGTCCCGAGGTTATGTTAAATGAGACACCACTCCGTAATTCAATGACATCAGATTCACCTATCGATTCCCCTATGAGTCAAAATCCACCCATCGAAAAGGAGCCGAGGCCCATTGGCCGAAAGGTTGCGAAGGCAAAGAAAGCGGGTAATTCGAGCAATAATAATTCAAAGTTTTTGGAGGAAATTGCAAGGCAAAACGCCATAAGAATTGAAATAGAGCATAAACGCCAAGGTAGCGAGATGAAGATTCAAGCTGAGTATGCACGATAAAGGGAGTATTTGCGCAAAAAAGATGAGTATAAGACGAATCGGGAAACCATGGCGATGGATACAAGCCATATGTCCCCTAAAACAGAACTATTTTGGAAGCTAGAACGAAGGGATGTTATGAGAAGAAGACTTTTTTAGGATGATGGGCCTAGCAAATGATGAAAACCATTAAATTAGTTGGCATACCTTTTATGTATTTGTATTTTTCATGTTTTCTATTAGAAATTTGTATGAACCCAAAAATTTATCTGAAATTTGAATTTTGAAATTCTTCTGAAATTTGAACCCAAAAATCTTATCCAGAAATTTTATCCAATTATGAATAGTCTTGACACGTAGGAACTCATAAATCTTATCCGAAAATATTATCCAAATTAATTATTGAGGTAAAAAAAAAATTTGTGAAAAAAACAAAAAAAATGAATAGTAATTGCCCTTAGCCATGGCAACGGGTGGAAACACAAAATACTATTTGCAAGGGCAACCACTATTCACATGAATAGTGGCTGCCCTATCTCCTCCCTTACCATGGTTAAGGGCAAATGGATGAAGTTGCTCTAAGAGGGAGGGGAGTTTCTCACACACACACTACTAAGGTATCACAGGGGTTCGAACCTGAGATCACGAATCTACAGCTCAATGCCCTCTTTTACTGAACTAGACCACGTTGGCATCCTCGTAATTTTTTTTATAAAAAAGAAAAGAAAAAATGAGATGCCCTAGTTATGAAAAATGACGAAAAAAGAAGTTAATAATTAGATAAAAGGATCTCCATGGTGGAAAAGGGAAAACAAGAAGAAAAAATTGGAGACAAGTAAAGCCGAATCTAATTTATCTTGTCCCTTCTATTGATGTATCATCGGACTACACATCCGAGAACTTCAAAAGAGAGTATGGGACCATCGGTAACGTGTTGCATTTTCACTCTGATCAAATTCCAATCTCCACTTATTCCTTTTCCTTTTGTTTTTGCGGAGTCCATTTTCTTCAATATGCCAAGCGCAAAACTATTGGAAATAAAATATAAGCGTTTTCTACAGATCCATTTGTCACACAAATATCATTATTTTTTGTTAAAACTATGCTACCGCCAATTGCGCATAGAAAGATGGTGCAGAAGCAAAGCTAATTCTTCAGCAAATCATAGACAGATAAACCGATAGCATAATAAAGTTGCAGATTGATAGTACAAAAACAGCACGAGCAGTTTACATCACAAAACAAAGCAAGCAGTTGATAATACAAAAACAGCATGAGAACAGAATCTATAGAGATACAACCCTTGATTTACATGGAAACTTTTCTTTGCAATATTAAGTGTCACCTTTCTCCAAGAGACCCTGCCAAAAAGGATGCAATGGCCTGAAGAGCGAGATCTTCAGCTTCGTCTTGCGTTAACCCAGTGGTTTGCAGATGCTTCTTTCCAATCTTGAAGGAGTGGTCACCACCATCAATCACATGCAAACCACTAGGGCATTTCATCTTCTTGCGTGTAACTTCTAGCTTTTCCAATGGACAGAGCGCATCTTTACTACCCTTCATGAAACATAATTGTAGCATACAACAAGACACTTGTTAGAGATAGAAAACTTAAGAAAGGCATTGTAATCTAACTGTAAAAGGAACTTTCATTCTACAAGGATAATATATAGAAAGAAAATGAAAATCTCAGTTTTGTCATTCTATCAGAATTGGTACGAGAGAGCTGAAGAATTATAAATCCAAAACATTAAACCAAATATTTTATATTGAATCTATACAGTGCAGTAGTTTGCAATTGCCGACCAGGAGGCACTACGAAAAATAAAAAGAAAACTTGATTCTAGAGAAAAAGAAATACCTGTACTAGCATTATGGGAACAGAAAGTTGCAAAAGTGTTTCATCTCGCACTGCTCCATTAATTCCCTGAAATTTAAGATACCCAGATCAGACACAATCGGTGGCATATTTACATAGTTCGGAGAAGTGCAAAGGGGAAGGGGAACACTCGTAGGTCACAACATCAATTGCTAAGGTTCCAATGAATGCAGAATTTCTTCTTCAAAGAACAGATAATTTTGTCTCAACTATTTTCACCTTCTAGTTTGTGTCATTGAAGATTTACTGCACGATGATTTCATGCCAATAACCCAAAAGAAAGAAGGAAAAAACAAAATAAAGTACATAATGTGCACAAATGAGATGTGGGGATAACAGCAGAACTCAGACCTTTAGCGGGTATCCTAAGCAAACTATTGCTGAAGCACGAATGCCTTCCTTGCAAGCTACCATGCAGCTGACCCTAAAGACAAATGAAATCCAAAAATCATAAAAAGAAAGCACAAATGATAAGTAGCAAAGAAATTCATTTATCATTAACATGTTAGAGTACTAAAATGAAATTCAAATTTAAACATATACAAGGGAAACACAGCAGAGCTTCATGAATTGTCCATATTTCTAGAGTTGAGCACTGCAGCCAATATAAGATGCATACTCTACACAACTGTTCACCCAAAATAAAGCTCTGCAGAGATCAATATACATCTTTCAAAAGGGTATCTCCAGCATTACTTGATTGCATAGATACTACCTTCTACTAATAGAATTTTAGGCTACAGCAAGTAATCTTCAGTAGAAAGTAGAAGGATTATAACCTTGAACCCATAGATTTCCCGGCCAAAATCAACGGATGACCCGGGTACTTAGCAATAGCCTTTTCGACAATATCGGCGTGAAAGTCGACCAATTTTTCAGCCTTCGGCGGGGCCCTCCTTTTCCCTCCCGAAATGTCTGCCAAGCATCAAACTTTAAGATTATACAAAAGAGATAACAAACTCCATGTATAACCCAAAGCACCATATGCACCCAGTAAACCGAGATTTTAGCAAAATACAAATGAACTTACATGGGTAATCAAAGGTAACAACTTCAACAGCATGTAGTGCTTTTCCCAACATATCCTTCCACCTAAATAAAACTCGCAAAGCTTTAAGCTTTTTACTTCAACATTTCTTTTCCACTATTTCAAAAAAGAAAGAGAAGAGAGACCTGATCATCCAGTCAGAAGAAGAGGGAGCACCAGCACCATGAGCAAAGACCACAACAGGGGATAATTTCTCCAGTGTGGAAGAAGATGTTGCTGACACGTCGTTTGCATCATCTTTGCTCTGGTCCTTACGCCTACGTTTTGAAGGGGGTGATGAAGCCATTCCCAGTCAAAGAACCCTTTGAAATGATTCCCAATTTTCAACCTGATCGAAACCCTAGATATCAGCCCTGAACTGATTTTCGCGCCAAATGTTAGGAAAGACGAAGACACAACTAAAAGAAAGTGCCACGCGCCACTTGGCATCTCCTTACATACGGGTTGGGTTTTTCAATCAATACATTGGATTGGGTTTAGGCTGAGCAAGGCCCAACTTGGTTAAATCCTGAAATTATCTATTTTTACAATGCAATATTTTAATTCTTTGATTTATGGGAAGGGGATTCAAACCCATGCAAGTGTTACATTACCTTGACTAATTGAGCTAACTCACATCTACATAGCCTGAAATATCAAGACTATTCTTTACGGGGTGGTCTTTTTATATTCTTTTTAATTCCTCGATCAATATATACGAGGAGCAAATTTCAAAATCTTTTTCAAGTATTATATATATTGATTAAATCATTTGCATATTTAGAAGCCCCACAAACACAAGCAATGGTATTCTGTTTGGTGTGAGGCGATAATGAGGACTTATAATGAGGAGTCCTTAATAGCCATTTGATTAGTGAAAATGTTATTATTAAACACTAAATTGCATCCTTCAACACAACCCCTCAACATAGGCCCTCGTTATAGAAGCTCCCATGAGTTTTGACAGTCTCAAAAATTGTCTCAAAAGTTTCCATAAAACCCAATTTACAAAATTAAGAAGTTCTATGAAGAACCAAGTTTGCAGCGTAGCTCAAGTTCGCATGCCCCATTAGAGCAACTCCACCCATTTACCCTTATAGCAACTCCACCCATTTGCCCTTATCCATGGCAAGGGGGGAGTTAGGGCAGCCACTATTCACGTGAATAGTAATTGCCCTTGCAAATAGTATTTTGTGTTTCCACCGTTGCCATGGCAAATGGCAATTACTATTCATATTTTTTATTTTTTTCACAACTTTTTTTACCTCAATAATTAATTTGGCTGGTATTTATAGAAAAAAATTCATTAATTTTTGGGTATTTTAAAAAAAAATTCCGAATTTTTTCCAGTATTTTATTGCAAAAAAATTGGTTGTCGTTGGATTGGAGGAAAAAATCAGATCGAAGAGCCCAGACGATGCCACGTGGTAACATAAAAAAAAAATCAAATGAGTGGGCTGACACCAGCCTGCGTTTTGGACCTCGGGCTGAACTGGCCTTCGGGCCAGCCCGAGTTGTGTGGGACCCACTCCAGCCGGTGCTTGGGCTCACTACTGGAAACTAATTTTTGCAAAAAACTCCCCCAGCCCGAGGCAAGGGGGCCTCGATGGAACTGCTCTTATGGCCCAATATCCTTGAAAAAGAGGCAAGGAGCCTAATTTTTGGTGGAACATGGGGGGTATAAAACCTCATAAAAAGACAAAAACAACTAAACAGTATCCCAAGTTGGATTTTCCTCAAGACACCAACAACCCATGTCACTACCGTGGCTCCAACCAGCCAGTCTATCAGCCACCGCGTTCTTCTCTCTATAAATGTGTTGAAGTTTACTTCTTAGGAACTGGCTCAAAAGTCTCTTGCAGCTGTTAACCAATCCAATTGTAGAATGACAGTTGTTCAGCTCATTACTCAGGATAAGATTCACGGCCGTGACAGAATCCATTTCAACAACAATATCCATTATGCTTCTTTTAATAGCTAATTTTTAATCAAAAAATAATCCCCACTACTCAGCTTCAAGGATTTGCCCTTTCCCAGGTTGACAGCTAATCCACCAATCCAGTTACCCAAGTGGTCTCTAATAACTCCTCCAGGCCAAACTAACCTGGATTTTACCACCTCCCAACTGATTATTTATAGAGGCCCTGATCCACTCCTTGATAGCAAACAATATCAGCTTGTTTGGGCCTAAATTCTGCGCACCAACCCATCTAGGTACTGTGCCATATTGACGACAGGGATTTGTGCCTTGTTTTACCAAAATTGAAAATCAGCCCAAGATGTTTTAGAAGCCCAGACCATTTCAAACCAATGGCAGAATAAATCTTCACATGTTAAAGGTTAATTACCATTAATGGTGATTTAATCTGAAAAAAGCTAGATTCAATTGGTTTAATTAAATACCCAGCTTCTAAATTTTTTTCCAAGGGCTCAAGGTTTGATCATCACCATTGATTACTAAATTCAAAGATCAGATCCGCAGATAAGGGGGAGGATTTTTCTTTCCACAATTCCCACATGATCCCAATGACAATACGTCAACAGTCTAAGAGCAGAGGACGTGCTAGGGAGTTGGTAGAAAGGTGAAATCGGAAAACCACTCCCCATAACCATTAAATGCCAGAAAAGAAGGCCAAGTTTCCTCCCCTTACTCGTGAAGGCCTCGTCAGTACAGACTTGGTTTACCAGAGACAAACAAAGAAATAAGAGAGTTGGTTGTTAGAAAGTCAAAACTTATCATCATGAAAACTGACTCTTGATGGGGGTTTTTCTTGTCAGATTAACTACTACTCTTTTTTGCGCTGGAACAAAGAATCTTCTCAACAATGTGTCCTTCAGATATTAAGGAATAATCACTCATGCAGATTTCCTATAAATATAGGAGGATGTGAACATGATAGAGACAACAAAAAATCCAATCAAAACAAAACCTCTCAGTCATACTGACAAAATCAAGCAAGATCACACGCTCACACACAAAAGAAAGTTGACTTGTTGACCACCAATGGTTTGCAAGTGAATGAGGAATTTTACCCTACCACCACAAGAACTACATCAAAACGGGTAAACACAGCTCTCTAGGATTTAAAGGCAAACCATCCTTATTTTTTAACATAAAAACCATTTCTCCATTTCCAGAGGTGCCAGCAGATGACACCAAACAGAATTTTCCAAAGGATCTGCAGGAACTTATTCTTAGAGTGAAAGTTGCTGAGCAGCCAGGGAAACAAATGTGATAGGTCATTGTCCACTATGACATCTGATGGAAACAATGTTCTCTGCCTCTAGTTTCTTGTCACAGTACATTGCAGTCCATGGTATCTATCTATCATCACTAGCTGTAGCACAAAAAGCATTTTGCCACATGCAAACTGTGGCTGATCATCCAAGCAACTCATCATCCAATTGAGATATGCCATTGGCTGTGAAGATAGAAAGCAAAAGCTAAGATTATACTACAAGGTGGGATGGGAGGAATGTCAAACAGGAATTGAATTTATATCTGCATTGACCTCAATTATGAATAAGATCAAAGATAACCTTGAGAGATGCCTATGAGAACCTAAGCTACTTTAATTTTATTCTTTTGCCCAAAGATAAGCCTAATTGCCTTGCCAAGGTTCTCAAGAGCCAACCCCCTTTTGCTTACGACCACAAAAGCTTCAAGTTGTACAAATTTGATTGGTCAGAAAAATTTGGGAAATCCACCTTGGATTGGTGCATTTGCTGATCACTGCTTTTATTTAATTAAATTATTAAAATGGGATTATAGATATGTAGACCCCAGCAATATTGACTAACAGCAATGTTTAATTATCCCCACAGAACCTAGTGCTTCGTTTTTGTCTTTTTGTGGCCTTAAGAGCTCTATAAAAGGGCTTCTAAGCCAATGCTTTCTTCAACAAATAAGAGCAAAGCCAATGAGCAAGGAGTTGAATTGAATCTTTTAGTAAGGCATTGATTGCTCACTCTCCCTCAAAGGCTTCGCAGCTTAAGGCAATGATATTATACCAAGGTCCTTAATTTTAAGGGACACTTTGGTATGCTTTAGGCTATGAAGCTCGTTGGGGGGGAGTGACCAAGCTTTTGCCTTAACTTGTAGCAGGGAGTGCAAGGCATTTTCTACGGATAGAAACCCAAGGCATTTTCGTTGCTCACTCTCCCTCAAGGGCTTCTAGCAATGTCAGAAATGGCGAGCTCGAAGCCGTTGGGGAGAGTAAACAAAAACTGTCTTGATTTATTATATGGCAAACCACATTTGATGGTGAGCATCGGAGCTCAGAGGCTTTTTTTATTTTCTTGATTTGCTTTTTGGAAAGGTGAGTGATGCTTACTATTTTCAGGTCTAGCTCAGCTAGCTAGCTAGCTCATGTAATAATTACTGGAAATTTAAAATATCACACATGTATAAACTTTACCCGCATATATATGCATGCTCACACACACACACATTATATATATATAATCAACATGCATGCATGCACCATACATTTGGAGACAAAATTTGTACATTTCAAATATTATATATATATATATATATATCAATGTTCTTCATTAAGGAAAAATGTTTGGTTACTAATGAGTCATTCTTAAGCTTAGAACAAATGCTTAAAAAAATTCTTTTTAATTGAAGAAATGTTGTGATGAACTTGATAATTAAGATTTATCTAACAATTTAACTCAAGTTATATTCGTCATGAGACATTTATAACGCATGTATAATTATTAATATATAAAACCCTCTTAAACTCAAAAATACTAATGAACCTCAAATTAAGTATATCGTGTACGGGTAATAATTTGTGTGAACTTGTAACACCGTATGCAAGGTATTCTTTCAAAGATACAAGTCCACAGAGAGTGTTGAGAGGGGAGGGGGGTAGAGTGGCCCTTTTGTTACATCCAGGTTTCCCGCTGCATGTATAATATGACTCTTTCATGAGTTGACTGGTCCTTGATGCATATAAAATAAGGAATCTTTTCATTACAGGAAAAACAAACCTTTTTTCAAATTGCATCGCTAATCTCTAATGCAACATGATAACTTATTGGATGTGAACAAACAACTCAATTTCCACAGCTGCCTCTCAAGAAGAGAGATTCGGAAAACCAGCTTTTTCTTTGGGTAATTAGAAGAAACCAACATGGCTGATTGATTAGTACTACTAATATTTGCTTAAGGAGAAAACAAGTAGAAACATTATTTCTATAATATTGAAGGTCGGCTAATGACACTGCTTGGCTGCTTACATGTACCTATAAATCACGGTCTGATACATAAACAAAAATAATTCATTAAAAACACACACACACAAATTATGCACACGCGTTAAATTGTAATTTGTTTGGAAGAAAAAATGGCGAGTATTTTTCACAAAGAATTATATCTGACGAGTCAGAGTGAAGTGAAGACTGAAGTGGTTGTACAAACACTGATAAGCAGAAGTGCACATGGAAAAATGTCAGGTATCTCTCAAACCTTGTTGAAAAATGGAAGTTACAACCATATCTGCCCTGCTTCCTTTATAACCTTAACTAGATAAAGTAGCTGCTGCTGCTGCTAGTCTTCTCCACTGTGCCCAGGGCCACCACTTTCCCTCCCTCCCTCCCTCCCTCCCTCCCTCCCTCCTCAAATTATAGGAGGACAGGAATCTCTCTCTCTCCTCTGTTTGGTATTCAAAATTCTTCTTTTTCTTTCATGTGACTTGTGAGCCTAATATATGAACAACATTTTATGAAAAAAATGTATGTAAACATGAACTTGTTTGGATTAAATGATATTAATTTTATGGATTTACATCTCAAACTTTTTCTGGATATCAAAAGCCATATAACTCTGACTGGATGAAATGCCAGAAACCAATGATTCAGAGAGAGAGAGAGAGAGAGAGAGAGAGAGAGAGGGAGGATCCAAGGATGATTATTTATAATAGCATCCCTAAATTGGTCGAGTTCACATATTTTCCTAGATTTTACCAGCACTTAATCTTGAAGTTAACCCATAATCACACCCAAATTAACCTACAGCCATAGAACTAATCCCTCGTACGAACCTCTTCTGATCTGCAGTCTGCTACATTAAGCAAGCTCTTGATTTTTCTCCACAAGTCTCACTTCTTTTGCAGATCTAAGCACACTGGCCTGACAAAGAGAAAAGAAAGAGCTTAATTAATCAGTTTTTAATTAACAATGGTGCATTTTTATATAAATCACACACCTGGTCATCAGTAATTTCCACAGCAAACCCATCAACGATGACCAGAGACAATGTCTTCTTGTAGCTTCCTGGCTCAAGGGTTCTCGCCAACAACTGGTCATGCTTCCGGCTTAGATACAAATCAAGCTCATTTGTCCCTCTCTTTGTTCTATGCACATGTATTTTTAGATAAGGATACTCATGAAGAAACAAGAGAAGAAGATGAGCAGCAAAGAGAAGCAATATACACTTACCGATTAGCTCGAAGGCGCTCGTATTGAGGATCGTAGTTCATGAAAACAAAGTATGATTCGATTTTGGTGTCTTGCATTGTGGCTAATTCTAACTTTCTGTGCTCTTTCTTCTTCTAGGTTATTGACTGATGGGCAATGTGGCCTCAGCTAGTTCTACATGATGCTTATTTATACTTGAACTCATCACAAGAGGCCTACATTTTTTGTATACATTATCAAGTCTACGTTTAAGACAATATTATTACAAGATTTAAGTCTACACACTTATAATACGATACGAATAATTTTGACTAAATTGCGATAGAAAATTCAAATTTCATTATATTTAAAAATAAAAGAAGAGATGTAATATAGAATAATACTAGACACACAAACTATTTCATGAGCCCCATAAATGCTGGGCAAATAGTACATTTGCAAACTCAATTATCTACTGGGGAAGAAATTGGAATCTAAAATATCTATTGGGTACTTGGGAGACAATAATGGGGATGCTTCTATGGCAACATTAAAGGCAGGGCCATCATTCACACTCGGAAGTTTCTTGCCTAGTGTTTGAAAAATACAATTTTAAATGTCGGCCACACGCTTGCAGTATAAAAGTCAACACTTATTAAACAACTTTTTCTTTTTAGTAAATTTGTCTTACACCCTTCAAATTCAATTTGCCGTACCTAAAACCCTTCACTTTTTGTTCCTATAAATAATACCCAATTTGTATAAATAAAAACCCATGACTAGGATTCAACTCAGCAAGTTACCTAATTAAGCATAAAATTTGATTTATTGTACTTTTTAGATTCCAAAAATACCCCAAACTAAGCCATTATTGCATTTTGTATATTAATGTAAGAATCAATATGGAAACAGTTTTTAATTGGATTGTATATAATGACAGATGTTGAATTTGGAAAGATCTCCAAATGGTTGTAATGGATGTAGGAATTAATTTTGAAACATTTTTAAAAAAATTTAACAATAAATTCAAATTTGGGTAATCGGTTTGTTTAATAAAATGTTTATGTTATTTTCTTTTTATGAATTATACATGACTAATAATCCACTTTATAATTGTTTATGAATAAAACTATACATACTAATTATGTTGAAAAAATAATGTACCTATTACTTGTTTGTTTTATGAAAAATATAATTTACCTAGTATGAAAAGTGTACATAATTATCTATTCCAATATACCTACATTATACGACATCCAATATACCTACATTAATTTTAATGTACTTACAATTAGGATTTAGGTATTATATGTCATCCAATGTACCTACCATTTGAATAATATACCTACTACGAATAAAGTACCTATTATTTATCTAAATAATGTACCTATTTTTTATCTAAATAATGTAATTTATTTTTTTCTATAAATAATATAGCCTTTTTTCTCTGAATAAAGTACCTATTATTTGTTTTATTAAAAGTAATTTTTTTAAATGAACCTATTTTCTCTCTCCAAATAACTTACCTATTTTTTTCCTCTAATAATGTACCTATTTTTCATAGGTACATTATTGGATATGTAATTTATTGGATACCTATATTTTATATGTATATATTTATATTATAATTTTCATAAGTACATTATTGGATATGTAATTTACAGATTTTTTTTTGTTTGCAATTTTAGGGGGCGAGATGTGAGAGGGAATGACAACTATAAGAAATGGGGTGATTGATATGCTATTAATAGGGAGTATATTAATTACAATTATGACAGTTAATGAAATGCTTGAAATAAATTATAAATAAAATATGAAGTTTAGTGGCAACAATGTAAAAACATAGAAATACTACGACCTCTTATATTCTACTGGTCATTTAAATTTGAAATTGGGTTTTACACATAGATTTATAGAGTGATGGGTATATGTCTAGGAAATAGAAAATGTATTTTAACTGAACATTTGCGAATGAGTGCTCTTATTTCCATACATCCGTCCTATTATCTAATTCGTCTTATTTTTCCACAGACCATGTAAATTTGAAAAAACACAATCTTATATTTTCATCCACGTTATTCTTAAAATACCCGTATTAAATTAATTCAATCAAAGCTCCCCCACCCACCCAACCTGATCGGCCACCCTAACCCCGCCGGCGGCATCCACCCCTTTGCTAGCCGAAAACACCTCCTTTTCTCTCTCTTTCTTTTCCCACTCCCACAAGACAGACTAGATAAAAAAATTACGGCTACAAGTCCTCTTCAAAGTCTAGAATCTCTAGAAATATCAAAAGAGGAAAACCTGTAAAAACAAATTGCGCTTAGAATTTTGCCTCTGTAGGAAGGTAGGGTCTGCATCAGTATCAACAAACAAATCATATTCTTTTTCTTCTCTTCCTTTTATGGTCTTGCCCAAGTTTGTGAGGGAAGATGCATCTTTTCTTCCTTTAGTATCTGAATCAGTGCCACCAAGTGGGACTTGTTTGGATCGACACATAAAATATAGAAACAGAGAGAGAGAGAGAGAGAGAGAGAGGATTTGTAGATGGCAAGGGGGAAGGGGGTCGCTGCCGGCGGGGTGGGATGGCTAACAAGTTGGTGGGCGGGTGGGTGGGGGAGTTTTGGTGGCTGTTGGGTTTTTGTTTTTGTTCTTAAAATAATTAGTTTTAGTTTTTTATAGGACAAACTACAGTAAACCCCTCAACCTATAAGGTCATTTACGAGTTCATATCCGATTTTTGGGACGTTAAGTATGTACTAGTAAATGTCTCCAAAATCGGGTATGAACTCGTAAATGACCTTATAGGTTGGGTGGTTTATTGTAATTTGTCCTTGTTTATGTACCAAAAGTTAGCAGCACTCATTCTCTATTAATAAAAAATAATAAGAGAGAGTTCCGGGTTCGTGAGTTGTGACGATAATGACTGGATATGGGGGTGAGGAGCAATGAGAAAATAATGAGAGAGAGTTATGGTTTTGGGTTTTGAGATAAAGAGGTTTTTTAAAATAATTTAAATAGTAGAATAAATTTTTTATAATTTTTTGGTCCACGTCATAAATATAAAAATAAAAATAAATTTTAAAAAAAGGAGTATCACTTTTGACACGTCAGCATTTAATAGACTCACTAACAGTTTGGTTAACGAATAAGGCAAATTGTAAGGTTTCCACGACGTTGAGTATGTACTCGTAAATGACCCAATAGGTTGGATGGTTTACTGTAGTTTGTCCTTTTTTATGTACCAAAAGTTAAGGGAAATAGCAGCACTCATTCTCTATTAGCAAGTATTAATTATAGACTAGAAATTTGATTAGAGGCAATAATTTTTTCCATTAAGATAATTAATAATGGATTCAATATTAGAATATGTCATATGGATCATACCGATGGTGACAAAAAAGAGGATCTGAAAGCCATTAACCAACTGATTAGTCCTTCACTAATTAATCTTTTTAGCCAATATAGCAACGACTTGGAAGTCAAAGATTGAACTAATAATACTTTGATTGGATACTTTGATTGGGTACATTATTGGATATGTAATTTATTGGATACCTATATTTTATATGTATATATTTATATTATAATTTTCATAAGTACATTATTGGATATGTAATTTACAGATTTTTTTTTTTTTGTTTGCAATTTTAGGGGGCGAGATGTGAGAGGGAATGACAACTATAAGAAATGGGGTGATTGATATGCTATTAATAGGGAGTATATTAATTACAATTATGACAGTTAATGAAATGCTTGAAATAAATTATAAATAAAATATGAAGTTTAGTGGCAACAATGTAAAAACATAGAAATACTACGACCTCTTATATTCTACTGGTCATTTAAATTTGAAATTGGGTTTTACACATAGATTTATAGAGTGATGGGTATATGTCTAGGAAATAGAAAATGTATTTTAACTGAACATTTGCGAATGAGTGCTCTTATTTCCATACATCCGTCCTATTATCTAATTCGTCTTATTTTTCCACAGACCATGTAAATTTGAAAAAACACAATCTTATATTTTCATCCACGTTATTCTTAAAATACCCGTATTAAATTAATTCAATCAAAGCTCCCCCACCCACCCAACCTGATCGGCCACCCTAACCCCGCCGGCGGCATCCACCCCTTTGCTAGCCGAAAACACCTCCTTTTCTCTCTCTTTCTTTTCCCACTCCCACAAGACAGACTAGATAAAAAAATTACGGCTACAAGTCCTCTTCAAAGTCTAGAATCTCTAGAAATATCAAAAGAGGAAAACCTGTAAAAACAAATTGCGCTTAGAATTTTGCCTCTGTAGGAAGGTAGGGTCTGCATCAGTATCAACAAACAAATCATATTCTTTTTCTTCTCTTCCTTTTATGGTCTTGCCCAAGTTTGTGAGGGAAGATGCATCTTTTCTTCCTTTAGTATCTGAATCAGTGCCACCAAGTGGGACTTGTTTGGATCGACACATAAAATATAGAAACAGAGAGAGAGAGAGAGAGAGAGAGAGAGGATTTGTAGATGGCAAGGGGGAAGGGGGTCGCTGCCGGCGGGGTGGGATGGCTAACAAGTTGGTGGGCGGGTGGGTGGGGGAGTTTTGGTGGCTGTTGGGTTTTTGTTTTTGTTCTTAAAATAATTAGTTTTAGTTTTTTATAGGACAAACTACAGTAAACCCCTCAACCTATAAGGTCATTTACGAGTTCATATCCGATTTTTGGGACGTTAAGTATGTACTAGTAAATGTCTCCAAAATCGGGTATGAACTCGTAAATGACCTTATAGGTTGGGTGGTTTATTGTAATTTGTCCTTGTTTATGTACCAAAAGTTAGCAGCACTCATTCTCTATTAATAAAAAATAATAAGAGAGAGTTCCGGGTTCGTGAGTTGTGACGATAATGACTGGATATGGGGGTGAGGAGCAATGAGAAAATAATGAGAGAGAGTTATGGTTTTGGGTTTTGAGAGAAAGAGGTTTTTTAAAATAATTTAAATAGTAGAATAAATTTTTTATAATTTTTTGGTCCACGTCATAAATATAAAAATAAAAATAAATTTTAAAAAAAGGAGTATCACTTTTGACACGTCAGCATTTAATAGACTCACTAACAGTTTGGTTAACGAATA